TATTTTTAGTTTCCATTAACTATAATGACGTTAACCCCAACGAACACAAGCACGATAGACAAAAGGAAAAATGAATGGTTTCCCTCATTTTGATCGTCTCATTATTTTTACCTCGTCGTCTGTCTCTCTCATGGCAACCAATCAGCTTTCCTCTTTTCCCTTGTGTCCTCCTCATCTGTCCATCACCTTCGGATGCCTGTATTTGGTTGTCTTTTATCTTGATTGTCACATGTCAAGATATAATCTCTCGCTCATGCTCCTTTATAATTAGTTATTTGCCTGAAGTGAATTTGACTCCGTAAAACACACTGTGGGGGGGCTCCAGTTTTGACAATAATTACACGTTCCATGTTCAAGCGGTGTAGCTAAATGACCACTGCAACTATTTGAGATTTACAACCACATGTTTAGAACAAGGATCGCCAATGGCTGTCTGAATTGTCTTTCAAACAAGCCCTTCCGCTTTAGATCAAACTGACACCATTCATTTGTTTCGGAGGGAAGGCATTCTGTGAAAGACTTCCGACACGATGAAGACAACAGCTCAGTGTTAGCTGGTTCTAAGAAAACCGCTTGCCGACAACCAAGCTTAATGAATGAAATGTTTTCAGCACATGACTGACAATAAAAGCAAATGTTTCCTGGATCTACGATGATTGATGAGGCAGCAAAGTGTTATATGGGTCTGCCTCACACTAAAATCTTCAATGAAACGTATTTGTGGAGTTCTCTTGTTCACCGTGTGCGTATTTGGGCTTCCTCCACGGACTACAGTTTCCTTCCATTTTCAATGAACGTGTTGAGTGACAACTAAGTTGCCCATTATTGTGTAATTTGTATTTTTTTACTATATGTGCCATCCATGCGACTGACTGATGACCAGACAGGGGGTGCATGGCGCCTCTCACCCAAAGCCAGATTAGATGGGCTCTGATTACCCTCAACCCTAATGAGAAAAGCAGTGTTGAAATTTGATGGATGGGTGGGATATGATTAACGCATGCAGGTCGAAATCTGGAGCACGTGGGAGCCAGTCAAAAAAAAGAGGGCCCCACTGTAGTCTTAATTGTGTTCAGAAAATTATTGCTTTAGGCGGGCCGGTGGGTGGCCCAGTGGTTAGCACGTCGACCTCACAGTACAGAGGTGCAGGGTTCGATCCCGGCTCCGGCCTTCCTGTGTAGAGTTTGCATGTTCTCCCCGTGCCTGTGTGGGTTTTCTCCGGGTACTCCGCTTTCCTCCCGCATTACAAAAACATGCATGGCAGGCTGATTGAACACTCCAAATTGTCCCGAGGTGGGAGTGTGAGCGCAGATGTTTTTTCGTCTCTGTGCGCCCTGTGATTGGCTGGCGACCGGTTCAGTGTGTCCCCCGCCTAGAAGAATGCGCAAGATGCTGTGTGAGTGTGGATGGTTGTTCATCTCTGTATGCCTTGCGATTGGCTGGCAACCGGTTCAGGGTGTCCCCCGCCTACTGCCCAAAGAAGGCTGGGATAGGCCCCAGCACGCCCCGCGATACCTTGTGAGGATAAAGCGGATCAGAAAATGGATGGATGGATTATTGCTGCATCCACTAAACATCGAGAAAATTCATTTGGCGCTCAGGATGCATTTTCCATGAATCTAGAAAGAGGAAGAACATTTTATGAGGGTGCTATTTCCACCCAAATCTGTGTTTTTGAAATGATGGAATATCGGGCGGCAGGCTCAATGGGCCCACAAGGAAGCAATCTTGTTTTACGCTAAGGAGCTGTTTGCCGACCCTGTCTTCGAATCTTGCTGAGATTTGAGTGAGCAACTGGCCCCAAAGCAAGCAATGGATCTAATAATGCCGCCCCCTCACCCCTGACACATGCGCCGTCATTTGAGCCCTGCTGACCATGCAGGCAGGCATAGCTGCAGCCCCCGGAGAGACGCACTCACCGCTGGCATTTCAAAGCCTTCCTCTGTCACACCACTTGACTTGGACCTCTCCGTTTTCACACACCTCTCCAGTGGCCCCGACTGCTGGGCATGAGCTCAGCTCCTGCAGTCCTCTGTGAACCTTTCAGCACTCTGCGAAACACACGATTTCACGCCCAAAGCAACAACTGAGGTCACGCATGCTTCACAGAACTTGCTGCAAGGAATCCAAATACAAGGCAGCGTCTGTTTGATCCGCTTCTACATACTGCAGCCTATAGCCGTTATTTCCAGTGACTTAAATGCTTTGAGAAAACCCTCGGGTTCATCTCTGCCTGATTTGCGTATTGTCTTGCAACATTTCAAAGGTATGGCGGGAATGTGCCCCAGGCATCCCAAAAGCAAGTATGAACATTCCGACGTTCTCGTTTTCATTCCAGTCAACAGGGGCGGGGGGAGCCCCCCAACCACCACTAGCGCCACACAAAGTGTGTTCTTGCAGTTGTGAAAATATTCACAAAAAGATACATCGAATGTATATGTGATTTAATATGTTTTCCTTTTCATTCATATTGGCAATATTTGGATGTAATGTATGGTCAATATACAGAATTGCAGGAAAAATAAACAATGCCAAAAGCAAAGAATATTAAGAAAAATAATACTCAGTTTTGACCCCGTTTGAGGTGTATTCTATACGCTTAATTTTTTTTTCTTTTTTCGGGGGAAATAAAACTGTACCTACTCCATTTCAACAGATATACACTACTGCAAACTGACTGGACAATCTAGCCTTGAAAATAAAATGTTCATTATTACTGCTATTATTTTATTTTGTTTTTATTTATTTATTTATTTATTTACAAAAATCTAATTTCTGATTCTAATTGTTTGGAAGCAACTACTTGACCCAAGGAGACTCTGGTTTACAAGCTTTACTGTGCTTTTTTTTTTTTTTTTGTCATTTATTGGCTTTTTCTGTCAGGATAACTTTGTTTAATATTCAAATTGCAGATGTAAATGTGGGAGGAAACCGGAGTACCCGGAGAAAACCCACGCAGGCCCGGGGAGAACATGCAAACTCCACACAGGGAGGCCGGAGCTGGATTCGAACCCGGCACCTCTGCACTGTGAAGTCGACGTGCTAACCACTGGACTACCGGGCCGCCATGTTCATTATTACTGCTATTATATTATTTTGTTTTTTATTTATTTATTTATTTTTTTACAAAAATCCAATTTCTGATTCTAATTGTTTGGAAGCAACTACTTGACCCAAGGAGACTCTGGTTTACAAGCTTTACTGTGCTTTTTTTTTTTTTTTTTTTTTTGTCATTTATTGGCTTTTTCTGTCAGGATAACTTTGTTTAATATTCAAATTGCAGATGTAATTAATAATTGACCTACTGATATTATACGAACAGATATAATGTTAAAATGTGTATATTGTGTGATAGTTATTTTATTTGTTGATCGTCAATAATAATATTTTTAATGCTTTGAATTTTAAAAAATCATACACAGAGCATGAGTAGCAAAACATAATTTTCAAGATTATAAAAATATATTTATCCATCTTTATTTGTTATTGCACTCATTTGGTTGTTCTACATACCTTTACATAACACAACACATTTTGTAGTGGCTGGTTGAAAGGTATGAAATGTTTCTAAAGTCATATATTCATTTATTTATATAAATAAAGCGAAGTATGAACCACCTTTACTTCGAGGTGAAAATATGTTGTGAGGAACAAAACAAAATAAATGTTGATCGCGATCAGCCCTCTTTATTGTTTACGTTCACCTGGAATGCTTTAAAGTGGCATTTGGCACACTCCGATCCAATCCAAATCGGGATGAATCCGACTTTCCTATTTACCGGAATGCAGTATTCGTCTATATCCTCTAAGTCTATGTCAGCGAGAATGTGCTTTGAATCACTGAAATCAATAAAATTAACATCGCCAAAACAAATAAACGTGTGCGTCTCTGCTTGTGTGTGTGTGTGTGTGTGTGTGTGTGTGTGTGTGTGTGTGTGTGTGTGTGTGTGTGTGTGTGTGTGTGTGTGTGTGTGTGTGTGTGTGTGTGTGCGCGCGCGCCCGCGTGTTTAAATAAACTCAAACTCGAGCTCTCACACATCGTGGATGTGGGTGGGGCAGGCGCCCGTGGGGGTTGGGGGTCGTGCATGCTTTTCAAACAATAACTTCGCGCGGGAAAAGGGGAGCTCGGGGATGGGAGGAGCAAAGACGGGGACGGAGTCGTGGGGGGATGGGAGTAAATGGAAAGCTTTTTATCTCCAGTTTCCCACATCCTGTGAGCGGCTCCAAACGCGGCCACCCAATTTGAAAGAATGAGTGGAATGCGTCCATTCACACCCCGCCCCAAGCCCGCTCCTTGATGCACAAACCGCTTAAGAGTCATTGTCAGACAACTCAAATAAAGGCCATAGTAAGGGACTTCACTTCAGCCAATAAACCTCCGTGTTTGATGTGGAAACAATCAGGTAAATGGCAGGGGGTTGGAAAAGCTGGAATGCAGTTGATGGATTTCCCCCCAGTCTATGCTATGCGGATGCTTTCCTATTAAAAGCACAAACGTAAACATGACAAATACTGATACAGGGCTATCTAGTTACACTTTGTAAATATATTTCTAAGAGTAAGGGAAACATGATCAAGTGTTATGGTTGAAGTGTGCAACTTAATAGGCATTGCAGCTGTGAGCACGTGAGTTTCTGTTTCATTTATGCTCGTCTCTCCTCACAATGTCGTCAGTTTCCCGCTGAGTGAGACTTGCAGGGGGGGTACTTGGATTTGAATGGCCCTCTTCTCTTCCCCCTTCTCCAAAGTGAGTCCACAGCGCCTAATTCAAATTATTCCTCCAGCCCAACCCATACACCCCCACCAATTTTGGCGCGTTTTGATTCCCGCCACGTCTGTGTCTGGCGGGCTGGGTTACGGAGTTCACTCTATTTTAATGGCGGTGATTGACGTGAGTTCGAAGCGAGAACTCGCTCTCCTATTGGTGGGAAGAGCGGAAGAGGGCGAAACCGGGGAGTGGTAGGTAACGCCTCTTACTACTCTCATATAAGTGTCCTTTCACCCCGCCTCTTGTTACCAAAGCCGGTGTCTGAGAGAGATCCTCGGACTCGAAACGCCGTCTGTTGATGTCGTCGATTTGTACTCATTTGTTTACAAAACACCGCGGAGAGGCTGCGAACGTGCGTTTGGTGTGAACCCAAACGCGCCGCCTCTCACCCGGACGACACTCTAGTCTCGTTGTTTTCCTTTTGGGACGAGCGTGGGTTTCCCCCATCCGGATGAAAGGATCCTTGGCACATTTTTGTTCTTGCGACGAGGGCACGAGACACGGGAGAACCGCGCCAACAGGATCCTAACTCCAGCCCGGCAAAGCCAAGACCAAGATCGTTCTTCAATTTTACGAGGGGACTTGAATTAAAGGAATGCTGCTTTCCAAGCTCAACTCCCTGGCCCACATTTCCAGCGACATGCCGGCGAAGCTGCAAGTTCATCCAGGTTAGACGCCCTTCTCTCGCTCTTTTTTTTTCCCCCTTCGTCATGGAGGACAAGGCGGAGCAATGGCAGCCCGCTCTCAAGGGCGCCACTTTATATTCAAGCCTAACTTAATCGTTATCAAATCTGTTCGAACGTATAAGCTTTTACGGAGCATTTGGTGGCTTATTGTAACCGGAGATTTCTCTCTGTGCATGTGTGTGTGTGTGTATTTGTGTGCGCAGCGAGGGAACCTTTCGAGAAGCTCTACCAGGTCGGGGCGGTGTTGGGCAGCGGCGGTTTCGGCACCGTGTATTCTGGCACTAGGACGTCAGACGGAGCACCGGTTAGTAATACATTTGGTTATCAGTCGTATTAATATAAAATGCCCATGAATTTTAAATTAATTTAGTGGGTTTTTTCAACCTTGATTTTGCTTGGCTCAGGTGGCTGTAAAACATGTCGCCAAGGACCGCATCTCCGAGTGGGGGGAGCTGGTGAGTGATGCGCCCTTTATTTACTGACTCATTCATTTTTGTGACAACGTGAATTAACGCGCCCCCCCCTTCCTGCCCAGCCCAACGGCTCCCGGGTCCCGATGGAGATCGTGCTGTTAAAGAAGGTCGGCACAGGCTTCAGGGGCGTCATCAAAATGCTGGACTGGTTTGAGCGAGCGGACAGCTTCATTATCGTCATGGAGAGGCCCGAAAACGTCAAGGATTTGTTCGACTTCATCACGGAGAAGGGCGCCCTGCCCGAGGAGCTGGCCCGCAGCTTCTTCCGCCAGGTGCTCGACGCCGTGCGTCACTGTCACAGCTGTGGCGTGGTGCACCGAGACATCAAGGACGAGAACATCCTCATCGACCTCCGGACCGGAGAGACCAAGCTCATCGACTTTGGCTCTGGAGCCCTGCTGAAGGACACCATTTACACAGATTTTGATGGTGAGGCGTCACTAACTGTTATTGTTTTTGTTTTTTAAAATTTATTTTTGCTTTCTTCCAGTCGTGTTTGAATTTGATTCTATTTTTAAATTGCTAAGTGGATGTTTTTAAATTCAGTCATGAAGAGTAGCAGCCTCGAATCCAAACCCAGAAATAAAGCAGGCACTTTGGCGCCTCCCCTTGGTTGAAAGGGGTATTTTTACAACTCAAAGTTTGTAAACAAAGTCACATGGCTGCTGCCCCCGCCCACACGTACTTGCTCTTAGTGCTCACGCACTCAAGGCTTGTCACGCTCCCTGGCACCTGCGCCCAGATAACACATGCAAAGAGGATTAACCTGATACACCCTTTTTTATCATGAACAGAATTTTATGAGGGTTTAAAAGGGATGTAAAATTTCTCGAAATTTCACTGGGAAATTAAGAAGTGCCTCATAAATAGGCACTCATGCAGACTTGGTAGGTCTGAAGTCTGCTTGTTTTATTCAGTGTAATGATTACACATGTAATAATTTTTAAAATTCCCCATGAAGAGATTACTGAAATTGAAAATTTCCCCAAATTTTACAAACCTATTGTACTCTCGTATTAGTCCTGTCGTGGTTCTGATGGTTTGTTTTCTCTTTTAAGGCACTCGAGTTTACAGCCCACCAGAATGGATCAAATACCACCGCTATCAGGGGCGCTCGGCCACAGTTTGGTCGCTGGGTGTGTTGCTGTACGACATGGTGTGTGGAGACATCCCATTCGAACATGACGAGGAGATCCTCCAAGGACAAGTCCTTTTTAGGAGGAGAATCTCTGCCGGTAAGATGCATACATGGCGATGAAAATATTTGTCATTTCTCGCGGGTTACAATAACGTGACTAACCAAATTGTCCCCCCACCCCCACCTGCAGAGTGCCAGCAGCTGATCAAGTGGTGCCTGTCTTTGCGGCAGGCCGATCGGCCGTCCTTTGAGGACATCATCAACCACCCATGGATGCAGAGCACGCCCTCTTCGGCGCTGCTGCCCACGCCGCAAACGGACAAGTCGAGCACAGAGATCAAGTTGCACAGCATCAGCCACGAGCCCTCGGCCTTCACGTCGACCTCTGTGGCCGTGGCGCTGTGACGGTGGAGAAAAGTGCCGCGTTTGGAACCTCGCCATCCTTGTGCCTCACTTGATTTACTCCCTGTGATCACATCAGACCACCATCGATCTCTGTGGACTCTGATGCCTGATTGTTAGCCTGTACGAGGGCGTGCTCTGCTTACTGAACAGCACATGTTGCCAGGAGGGTGCGAGTTATGTAACCACTCTGCTGCAGATTTGTTTTTAAAAGTGCCTTATGAGACTGTTGGGGGGAGGGGGGACCTGGAAATACTTGAATATTTGGAATGCAAAAAAAAAAGGCTAATGTTATTGATAGTCTTTCATTTTTTTTTTTTAAACAATGCTCAAGGCTTTATCTTATTTTTTTCCACTCATGGGCCTAGATCAGTGAAGCCTATGTCGTTACGTTACAACCACCACTAGCACTACTACTGGTCAATCCAATCTCATTAGCAACCAGACGAAACCTCACGGCTCTGGCAGCATCCTGTGCAAACATCAGAACTGGACTTACCTCACCTGCTTCTCAACCGCAGCATCTGCCTTTCTCTTTTCCTTCCTCCGTGTCACAACCACACCCTGAACCACTCCTCAATGCAAAATCGGGCATCGCGAAATGCACCATCCTCCGGCATCATCTTCTCCTTGACATATTTGAAAAGATTATGTCAAAACAGTGCCTCACACAGGTCTTAAAACATTGGGCGGGAGTCTTGAATTATATAATATGGTATTTATTTTTTTTTTCTGCGACAAGCTTCTTATCGAGATTTTATTTATTTAATTTATGAGAAGAATTACGGCTGTTCAATTGTTTCATTCCACAGTCACTGAAGGGCCCACCGTTATTTAAGACACAAAAGCAAGAATATTTTTTGACCATATTTATTATGGCTTGAATTTTGTTTTGTAACAAAAGAGCAGACACACGCGTGTGTATGATTGTATATGTCTTGTAAATAACTTGTAAATAGTTCCCAAAGCACTTCCATGTTAGTGTATTTGAACACTGAACGTCTACTGATGAACTGTTGGATGCAGTGTGCCTGCGTGTATGTGAAAGCGAGAAACCTCATTTGGATGCAGCTTTGATTGTTCATTTCCTTCAACCATTCAGATTAGAATTGTACATGATGTTAGAAATTATTTTTTTATACGAGTTCAATAAATATTTTGGTTACAACGTTGACTCTGGAGTCTTGTGTATGACTTGAATGTGTGTTGGATCGATGAGAGATGCAGATTACATGAACATTTAGACTGAATGGTTTGACTGAGTTGATTTGAATACCCGGTATATCGCTCATTTTATTTTTGATGAAATCAAACATTTTAGTGACTCTGAATGATGAGATAACGGCGGTAGAGACCTTGCTTGCCAAATAGTGAGCCCGCATTTATTATAACTAGTCTAGCCTCATATATGGGCGTGCCCTGAATACATTTTAGATCATCTCAGGCTATAGTGACCGCAATATTTCAGATGCAACAAACTGGACGGGTGGACTTGAATGGAACCTACCAACTGTTTACAATATTATTTACCTTCAATAATTCAGCATACGATCACCATATCCTTTATTGTAGTAAAGTGTTGCGGCATTGTGGCGTTAAAAAGCAGAGGACATAATCAAATCTTTCGCCATGCTGCATTGTTCACGAGGTGTGAAGTAATCAAGTGTGATGGCAGTGGCGAGTCCCCATGTGTTTAATCTCACTAACAAGCTCAAGATGCTCGTCGAGTTAATCTCGAGACCACTGGGCTATGAAGCTGCTCATCTCAACAGACGAGGGTTGCGCATTTAATCAGTCACCATGCACCCAATGACTCCTCCAAACGACACCGTCGGGACCCCAGGGCCTTCCACCCGACCACCCGTAGAGAGACAAAGATTTACTCAACAACAAATTACATGCAGTTCAACATGACTGCTGCTCCTGATTGTGGTGTGTGCTGAGGAAAACAGAAACAAAAGAATATACCCGGGGACCCAAAACTACCAAACCTTAACATGCTAAATATAAATATGACTGGTGATCGAGTGCTTAGCATGTTGGCCTCACAGTGCAGAGGTGCGATTCTGGTTCTGGGCTTCCTGTGTGTAGTTTGCATGTTTTCCCCGGGCCTGCGTGGGTTTTCTCCAGGTACTCCGGTTTCCTCCCACATTCCAAAAACAAGCATGGCAGGCTGATTGAACACTCTAAATTGTCCCTAGGTGTGAGTGTGAGCGCAGATGGTTGTTTGTCTCTGTGTGCCCTGTGATTGGCTGGCGACCGGTTCAGGGTGTCCCCCGCCTACTGCCACGAACAATTCAAATTTAGAACTGATGCAAACCAGTGACTGCCACTCATGAAAACTGATTGCTGTACCGCACACACTGCACAACAGTTCAATTGCAAACTCCACGTGGAAAGACTGGAACTGAGATCCAAACGCTGAATTTCATGCTCATAATAATAATAATAATAATAATAATAATCCATTTTATTTTGATTCTCTTCCCACATTCAAATCCCATCTCAAAACCCACAGACATCAAAATCGCAGACTCAATTTAAATTTATCTCTTCTTTTATTTTTTATAATTTTCTCTGTGGTTTTATTTTTCTTTGTCTTGTCCTTGATTGTAGAGTGTCCTTGAGTGTTGTGAACTCCACCATTCTTCCGTTATAAATTAAGGACCCAAGCAAAGAGCAAAAAAACAAGCATGTTTTTGTTGCAGCTCCCGCCACTGCCGTTTGGTAGCTGCAAAAGCTGCATCACACCACAGTTGGTTTCTGTGAATGTCTCAGACGTTCATTTCCTCTCTCATTCGAAGAAACCAGTCGTCATATCAAGACAGCATGCCAGTAAGCCGTTGGAGGTATGTGATGGCTTATCACAACATGAATGCACACTTTCAACGGACAAGGTTAGTTTAGGAGTGAGTCATCACAAAAATTGAACACGAGCAGCTTTGAAGAAAAACAGACACCCTGATTATAATGAAGAATAAAGTGGGGTTTGAGGTTATCTTATTACAGTGCTCCGTATCGTCCTCCTTCTTGCATTTTTAATCAGTGAGAGTGTTGTCCGCCAGCTGATCATGTCTGTCCTCTTCCCGCAAGTCATGTAGTAAGCGCACTTTCCTTTCATAATCAGCCACTCATCTGTCCTGACTGTTACATTGAGTAATACTGACGGAAACATTGCTCATCACTCCGAGCCTCACTTTCTGTTCGAACTGAGTATTAGTGTTCATATTTTTTTTAATGTAGCCCTTGGATAGCATCATGAGCAGGGGTGGGCCAACTGAGTCAAGCAGAGCAACAATGGTGCAAAGTTGCTCTGAGACTTTTTGTCGAAAACACGACGACTGTTGGCTGTTTGCACTCATTTGAATCTTTTAATCGTCAATGTCTGTTAAACACTCATGCGTGACATGCGTTGCATAGTTTTCTTTCCAGGTACTCTGCATTCCATCCACATTCCAGAAACATTCTAGGAGAATGCACCACCTGAAATTAGCCGGGGGTTTGAATGATTATTTGTCGTCTATTTGCTCCCTGTAATTGAATGGCGACCAGTCCTCGCTTGTACAAAAAGGAAGGGGAGATCGTGCGACAGATTCCATCACTTTACCGCTTCGAACTTCAATACCGTCGTTTAAAAAGAAGTCGACGTAATATGTTACGTCACTTTGGCGCCAGGTATGTGCAAGTCAGAGAGATGCAAACTGATAAGGAGATATGATCATCAATCATGATGCAAGCATCGCACTGACAGTTTGATGACACACTTGATTAGTTAGTGAGCATTCGTATGAGTGGAAAACAGAAAATGAAGAAAAATCTCCAGCAAATGCGCGGGTTCGAGATCAGGTATAACTGGCAGTGTTGTTTAAAAAAAAAAAAAAAAAAAAAAAAGTTTGGTTCTCATGAGAACATGTTGCTGCATCGTCTAAAAGCATCCCTCGCATATTTTATTCACTCTTTGAGACCTGAACCCGCGACCTTGACACTGTTACTCAAAAGATCAGTCAGATGGCAGTTTTCGAGTTTGAAAATAGCAAACATCAAATTTGTTTCACAGCCAGTGGGTCTATAGCGATGGTTGTAAATTCAAGTCATTAAAAAAAGAAAAAAATGGTTGGTTAAGAATGAGGAAAAACGGGCCTCTCCTGGTTTGCTGTTTTCCAATGAATGTTGCATTTAAGATGTTTGGTCATTTTTGCAAGGCCACCGTCAAATATTTCCAAGTGTACATTCAGTGTGAAATAGAAAAGAGCAGAATGAGCTTTCAATCAAAGCAACAAGGCAAAGCACACCATGTGCTCATCAACGGACGAGCCTGCGATGCTGTTATTCATCAACTCATCAAGTAGGAATGCTTCAACGTGTCCTACTCGCTTCATCTGCAGGAGAAGACAGCCGGCGGCCATCCTCCTGCACTTGTATACACATGAAAGTAAGAATTTGTTTTCACATGCCGGCATTGAATGACTCAGGCGTAGAGAAACGTACTCTCTGCCCCGCCTCAGCACTCCGACGTCGGGTCCCACGGGGCCGCGGCCTTCCCTGGCACCCCCATGTCCGACGTGTCTGGGCATGGATGACGCCAGGAGGTCGGTGAGATGCAGGTGTCGGGAGGATTGGCACATGCGTGAAGGTTTGGAAAAACAACAATGCGATCCCGTTTCACTCCGGGGAGAATTCCCACACGGTTCGTTCCATGACGTTTTTCCCAGAAAATCCAACAGAAGCTCCGACGTGACGCGGGAAAGCAAAGGTCACGAACGCATGTTGGGAATTTCCAGTGAGACACCACTCACTTGTTTATTGTTAATATTTCTCTGTATTTCTAGATTATGTATGAAGTGCATGTATCATATTTAGTACATTTTTTTGTCTGACTTCTCGGTAAGTGTGAGATTGGGATTTAAAACAGACAAACCGTTAGAGTTTTAGGGCCCCGCAAAAAGAAAAGAAATGCAACTGTACGATGGAAACGGTCAATAGAAAAGTCAACAACAATTTGTGAAAATTAAGTTGAGAATGTTTTTTTGTAGGGCGGCCCGGGCGTCGACTGGTTAGCGCGTCGACCTCACTGTGCAGAGGTTCGATTCCAGCTCCGCCCTTCCTGTGTGGAGTTTGCATGTTCTACCCGGGCCTGCGTGGGTTTTCTCCGGGTTTCCTCCCACATTCTAAAAACATGCATGGAAGGCTAATAGAACACTCCAAATTGTCCGCAAGTGTGAGCACAGATGGTTGTTTGTCTATGTGTGCCCTGCAATTGGCTGGCGACCGATTCAGGGTGTCCCCCGCCTACTGCCCGAAGACGGCTGGGATAGGCTCCGCCACCCCCTGCAACCCTTGTGAGGATAAAGTGGATCAGAAAATGGATGAATGGATGGATATTTTTTTGTATTATTTTTTTAATTACTATTTTTTCCCAAGAAAATGTTGACTTGATTCACTGGATCTACTTTTCCATCATTATTCTTGTCAAATTATATTTACTTTTTTTTTTATTTTACTTGTCACCTGTTGTTTATGAAGGAAATAGACCGAACTTACATTCTGAAAGCAATGGGCTGTCACGTTGCGAGGGGGTGGTGGACCTCAAAAAGCAGGCAGGAGGGAGGAGCAGGGTGAACTTGACAAATTGTATTATAATACTAAGGAAATGGAATTCAGAGCACACCAAGTCGGGAAAACAAAACGAATCCAAAGTAGCAAACAAAACCATGTCATAACCAAAAACTCTCAATAACAGAAACATGACCAAAAACATGACAGGAACAAGCATGACCGCATCAAAGAAACAAACAAACAATGACCCGACAATGAGTGGTCGGGCGGGAGTCCTTTTATACAACTAATTACATAATGACCAACAGGTGTGCAGCTGCAGGGGGAGCCCTACAGTGCCACCTGTTGGTCCCAAACCGAATCATGACATGGGCACCTTAAAGGTCAAAGACAATTTGTTTCGGCAAGCTTGCCGTCATGTAATTCCAGATATAGAATATCGTTTTAATTATTTAATTCCAGATTCAACATTTGTCCATTACTATTAAAGTACAAAGGGTGACAAGAGTTCACTCCTGCTAGTAGTAAATCATAATACAATAAAATGTGTAAGAGGCCTATAAACATCCCAATTGCCTCGGAAGTTGAATCAGTCTTCACAAAAAGGCGACACTTCCG